TAATGATGGGTTTTGGGTAGGGAGTATCAGTATGCTGTTTAGGTACGGGGAAAGAACACCTCATCCCCTTTGCCTAGGGACAACCACTATTGAATATAAACTGTGCTGACTTCATACCCTCACTCGTTAAAGTGATTTGTTTATTTTTAAATTACTTAGTAGGTGACAACTTGTCGTTTTAACAATTGCTGTGGGAACTACGTGCTTTCAATTTTTACTTGCTGTAACACCATTGTCAGGAATGTGAAAATGAATTCCTTTGAATACAGTGAGGTTTGGTTTGTTTTTTTTTTTTTAAAATAATCTGTCCTGGATTGTTTTTCTCCAACGCATGACGAACTTCAGCTATAAATAAGCTACTTGGAGTCTCACAGCCCACTCTGGGTTGCTCTTGCTAGCGGGATCGCAAGCTGTAAGCACCAGGGTAGCACGAAGAGAAAGTCTGGCTAGTGCCTGTGATCCTGTGATGCCAGGAGAAAGGCAGTATTGTAGTTCCAGTGCTCGGGACTTTGGATTGGAGCTAGGGTAAGGAAGTGGATGCTCACACTTGCCAAGGAGCCATGCGTTAAGGACTTCATTTGAGTAGTCTAGGACAGAGAAGGAGCTATTGTCCCACACAGAGCTGTAGCACGGAGCCTTCCTCCCAATGCTCACTGGGGTCCTGCTGTTGCAACAAATCCGCAGGGTGCACGACAACAGCAGCAGGTTTAAAATTACTCTCATTTGGTACAGCTGTTAGCAACTTAGGGGCATCCAGCCTTTCTACGGTTCTTATAAGCCATTATCATCAGTTTACAAAGAAAGCACTGCCTCTGGAGTTTGCCGGTTTTGTGATCTTTCTGCCATCATCCATACTGACTGTGTTTGTGGAGCGAATTCAATAGGATGTATCATCTCAAGTCCTTAGTGGAGGTTTGGCAGCAGCGCCAGCAGCAGAAGGACAAATGCCTCTATGAACATTTCCTTTTGAATCCTGATGTGTCAGGATTTTGTGTGTGCTTTGGTATCAGCAGGTTTTAGTAGCAATGAGTTCCATGTATAATATTTGCTATGCAGAGAGAATTTCCTCCTCATAATTTTGTAAATTTATCTTTAATTGAACAGCCCCTTGTTAGGAGTCATGCGTTGTTGGTTATTTTATTATAGCTCCTCTTATGTGTCATTTTCTTCAAGTAATCCATCCCGGTGCCTTCTGACTTTCTCCATAGAAGAACATTTCTATCCTCTTGATCGTTCCTGCTGCCTGACTATGAATCTTCTTTCGTAATCATGTATTATCCATCAACAGATTTCGCCTGAGGATGTCTGCTCAGCTGGTAGACATCTGATAAATTACATGCTAAATCTAGGTACTTCCAGAAAGAGCTTCCTATCTGTCTGTCTGTTTCAGAGTCTCTTGGTTATTAAAAGAAAGTCTTTTCTACTTGAATCCTCCTAGCTGATAGAAGAAGTGTCTGTTTCCACTTTTCTTTTTTAAATTAGGTGAGACAGATCACTCTCTGACTGCCTTGTTCTTGTTTACCATGCTCTCAGTTCCTGCCAACCACAGATATTATGGCTAGTAACTTTTAAAATAAATTTTCATCTCCAGGATTGATGCAAATGATGAATAGCAACAGGTCTTGAACCCATCCCTGCAGAAATCCAGTGGAAGCATCTCATTTGCTCATAGTCCCCAATTGACTCAGCAATCTGACAGCATATTCTGAATTTAATTACGCTGTGCTTTATTGTTTATATTGCCAACTTTTTAAAAATCAAAATTGCATGTGGTCATAAGCTCTCATGGCATCTTGCAGTACTTCTTAAAGTTTTTGTATAATAAATGAGAACTCTCTTTGGTGATTTTATTTGTAGTTTTTTGGGCTCTGAAATTAATTTGCGCTGTCTCACATTTGTTTTGCTTATGTCAGTTTTTATTTATGCATTTGTTAAACTGTGAACAGCTGCCAAGGCACCGGGGAAGTTTTTCTGCAGAATCAGTAAGAATATTTTACAGATTTTTTTATTTCCTAAATGAGTATTTTAAGTGTCGCCTTATTCGTTGGGTATTATTTCCTATTGACTGTCAGGGGAACTTTCTGCTCCTTTCCTTACACTGTTTGTGTTTTATTTGTTTTTCTCCTAGATCTGAGAATGGTACTTCTCCAAACCAAAGCTGTTGTAGCTTCCCTGTGACAAATATCAACCTGTCAGAGACCTGCATGCCTACCCACACACTCTTGAAGGTTTAGCTGCTTGTGTTGAAGATGCGCTCAGGCTCAGGCTCAGGCTTGCTGGAGGTGCGAGGCACAGGCATGGGTGCGATATAGCTCGGGCAGGGACCAAGGGTGAGAGTCTGAGCGTAAATCACCTCCCGAGCAAGGGGAGGCTCCTTTCGGCTTTTCTCACAACTCTGCTGTTTTCGCAGTGATCTGATCCAAGGTTACACAGCTGCAGCATGGCAAACCCAGCCTTGAGGAGCGACAGCCGAGCCCCTAGGAGGGAGTGGGTGTCCTTAGGGCCGGACACAGCCCTTTTATAGGCTCTGGACATTTCCATTTGGTTAAAAATAACAGCCTACATTATTACTGGCAGACTAACCAATTTCAGATTGCTCCACAGTTCGGTTTGTTGCTGTCCAAGATGATTACAAATGGTGCTAGTTCAGTTATGTAATTAATTAATGAGAAGTTTATGGAAATACAGAATTTTTCAGCCTGAGACTATTTGTTTAAGTGTTAGTTAGTGATGTGCTCTTGAACTCCTAACCAGAGGGTTGCAGGTCTGCAGGTACAGTGAACATTAATGGGAGATGACATGAACTTGAATAAATAGGTTCATGGACAAATATTGATGGAACAATATGTGGATGAATTGGATGAATACATAAAAGTTGCAATGAAGAAGTGTGCAAGGAAGATGCTTAAAGACAGTCTGGTGAAAGATTTTTCTTTGGGAGCTGTGCGTTATATGACAGAAAAAAGGACATCACTTTTTCGGCAAGCAAATAGTATTCTTTTGCATTTCTTTGTGGTAATTTAGGATAGGCTATTAGCAAAAAGAGAGTTTTTGGCATTGGTGATGGTACTCCCTGCTACTTTGGCTGGGCACTGTTTCTTTTGTTTATTTTCTCTGCATTTGCTACTCACCGCCTCTCCATCCTTTAAAAAAAAAAGGCTTTTCAATTGTGCATTCTGTTTTGTCTTTTTTTTTTTTTCCTTTTTTGGTGATCCTCTGCTGCAGCACTCCTCTCACCAGCAGTATCTCATCATAGGGCTGCAAAGCCAATGGTACATATCTGACCTCAGGTGTCCTGCGTTCCTTAAATCTGCCAAATGGTTCATCGGTGCACTTGCCAGTGTTCAGGTGCAGCTGGGTGCAGAGCAAGTGTGGGGAAGACTGCAGTAGGGAGGGCAGGTGGGAGAGAGGGAAAGGGATGAATTCCTATGAGCCTGCATCACAGCCAGCGTGCTGTGTTTCATGTTGGGACAGGGCAACTAACTTGATTAGTGTGTGTTTTAAAGACATTTACTGTGTTACTAGTGCCTCGTTATCAGAATAAAAACAGTGGATTTAGTAAATTCTTCAAGGTATTCAAATGCCTGTGTTCCTTTTGCATCTTGGTAAAATGAAAAGTATTAATTAGAGTTTCATATGCTGTTTTTTTTCCACTGGACCTATTAATCTATCTATTCCAAATTTGCATTTACACAAGGATGGTGAAGGTATGAATTTGTCTTGTGACTGGTAAACTGCTGTAAAGATGGTGACATTTCAGTAGTGAAACTTCCTCTGTGTTTCTGGCTTCTTGTGTAAAGCATTGACAAAGCTGTGTTTGCAGTATGACATATGCTGGTTTTTTTCCACTGGACCTAATCTAATCTATGTATTCCAAATTTGCATTTACACAAGGATGGTGAAGGTATGAATTTGTCTTGTGACTGGTAAACTGCTGTAAAGATGGTGACATTTCAGTAGTGAAACTTCCTCTGTGTTTCTGGCTTCTTGTGTAAAGCATTGACAAAGCTGTGTTTGCAGTATGAAAAATGTATGTCTCTCCTAACTTGTGTGCTCTGTCAAAGTTCATCTTCCAAGTGTGGCATTTTTAGTGCAAAGGTTATGGCAGTACCTGTAGAGCTAAAGCTCATTCTACATTAGCATCGTCTTTTCATAATTTCAGCATATATATGGAGCAGTTCATGCACTGCGGTAATTACATACAGTAAGATTGTGATTATATGATCCTGTGCTAACTGCTTTTCATATTTGCAGCACCACAGAAAAGTATTTTTGGTTATTTTTTGTTGTTATTATTACTTACCGTTGGGCAATTTGTCACATCTGATTACTTCTGTTCATAAATCTCCTGAATCTGCCCCCTAGCTCAAGACAATGTTTAGTTTAAAAAAAAAACAACCACAAACCAGACCACAGTCTGGTAGCACACTAAACCAGAAAAGGGGTTTTTGGCTTCTCTCCAGTCTTCATGTGGGGTAGCAGCACAAAGGTGCCAAGAGGCCAGTTGTAAGCAGCTAAGTGGGAATTTTTCCAGAATTGGGAGGAAATTACTAGATAAGAAAAAGCTGGCATTATGTTCCATAGGCCTGTGCATAGGGGATATAGCTGCAGTGCCGCTGTGTCCAGAGACTCCTAGTTCAGTGGGACTCTGGGTGTTTTACAGGCTGCTTCGCAGTAAGGGTAGATGTAGATGCGACTCCCTCTGCTGCCAGTGTAATAAACAGCTCTTTGTGGCTGTCTTTTCATTCACATGTCCATTTGTTCTATTTTTCTAAGTAGCATCTAGTATGTGCTGTGTTCATTCGAGAGATTGTGCCCAAAGCTTGTGAATTTGTTTCTACAAGTGAATACACTCACAGTATTATTATTTTCAACAAAGCCCTTACTTGAAATTGCTTCTGTTGCTGTGCTGCCACTACTGTTATGTGTTCAAGCCTTGAACTGTCAAGGAATTATGAAGTATTTTTATCCTGTGACATTTTAAATTATTCTCTCCATAGGGGAAGCCTGTGGGAACGCCAGATGCTGGTGCCTATTTCCGTGTGCTAGCAGAGCATGAAGTAGCTGCCTTCTTTACTTCACCAACTGCAATTAGAGCAATCCGTCAGCAGGACCCTGAGGCAGCCCTGGGAAAGCAGTACTCTCTGAAAAGGTGAACTAAGGATACACTGGAAGCAGTTTCTTACAGAAACAGGCTGGATGAACTAAGAATAGCAGAGTGTCTGGGACTTTTCCCACCTCTGTATAGCAGAATTCAAATGTATTCTCGACAATTTAGGTGTATTTGCTTGTAAATTTATATTGATAGTTTGGAGGAGATGAAAGCTGTTAAAAAGATTATGACTCTAAGGTCATACTGAGTTAGGGTTACTCGCTCAACCTTAATTTTACTCCACTGTGCTTATACCCTGTAATGCAGTCTTGGATTACACAATCCTGTACTGTTTTCCCACATGACCTCTCATTTCATTGAGTGCACAGGATCATTAGTGTTCGTTTAATCAGCAGCTAGTCAATGTTTTGTTTATCTCCCCATAACTTAGTTACTGCTTATGGTTATGTGCTCCAAAGACTGAGCTATTAGTTATCTCGTACTGTTTTTAAGGTGTTTATCACTATACTAGCAGCATACTTCAAAATCATGACTGAGTTCATCCTCACAAATCCCCTGTGAGATGAGAGAGTGGTATTATCTGTATTTTGCAAATAGGAAGCTGAGGCACAGAGAGATTAAGGTCAAAGTCTTCTATTGGTTTTGAATATCCAGTCTGAGCCACTGAACTACCACTATGTCAGAGTTCTTAGGTGTAATTAGCATTATATTAATAAAATGTCTCTCACACTGACTTGTATCTGTGAGTTTTAGTACTTCTACAGACCAAGTTTCTGCATCTTACAGCAAACAGTCTAAAAATGAAAAATATGTGGGTTTGGACCACATTGAATCTTGAAGTTGAATAATTTGCTCAGCATCAAACAAAGACTGTGTCAGACTGCATAGGCAGTATTCAGTCATAAGACATCTTTTATCACACTTGTCCAAAGAGAAGGGGAAGGTGCAAAGCCATGTAGCTTCATTACACCTCCACATTCTTAATTGCTCAGGAAAGTTTTATTTATTAGTAAGCTGGATTTATTCCTGAGGTATTCATTACAAGTTCATCATTACTTTCTTCCATCTGTTTTGAGTGCTGTCATCAATCCTTACCCCTCCTTGAAATAGGAAACAAGCTCATTTGAGACCCTAAAGCACTATTCTTCTATGATGTTTATTGACAAGACAGTGATTCAGATGCTAGAAAATGTAATTGCTGTTCCTCAGCATTTTTTAGGCAATGACTAAAATGACTTAGTCTGTCTTTAGAATATTCATTTAATGGAAAATCTGCTAACCTGCTCTGTAAGTTGTCACATTTTCTGGCCAAATGAGAATTCCAGATAAGAGTCTCCTTGCTGATATCAGTTGCCCCAGATGTAAAGAGATATTTCATCATTCCTGTACAGTGCATATTTAATGAGCTTCTCCCTTGGTGTGCAAATGTAATTGTCTCATAATTCACTCAGCTTTGGGCCATGTCATTCCCTGGTACATGACTTCTCTTTACTAAACCCTCTAGCACAGCATTTAATATCTAGTATTCTCTTGGGTTGTCACCCACAGGTGAAAAAGACTTTGGATTTTGTATAGTACTGACTTAAATCCAGTGACTATTCTCCAACCACCGATATGGTGCAGTAAGTTTGACAGTCTTCAGCATGCCTCTCTTTTCATGTTAGACGAGGATTATCTTGCTGTTAGGTCTAGTCGTGACCTCTAACTACTTGGCTATGTGATACTGTGGCGCATATTACTGAAATTGGAAGAGTGCTTAAATTAGACTGTCTATCCTATGATGATTTCAATATTAACATCCAGCTAGTTATAGTGTGTGTCCATTTTATGGGTTAAGTTGGTAAGAAATAGAGGCCAACAGGTGATTAAAATTTCCATTCTAGGAGAATCCTTGCTTTTGGGTGTTACTTGGATGGACTTTTCCATCCAAGGTCAAGTGAATTCTGTCTGTTTCAGTTTGAAATCTGTCTTACTTTTAGTTCATTTACTTGATCTTTGGTGCTTTCTTCTCTGTTATATGGTGCAGAATCTTTGAAATGAGGTGTCTTTCTGCTACCTGGGCTAAGATGTATCTTTACTTACTCTAGAGACTCCAAAACACATGTGCAGAAATGCTGTCCTGAAAGAGGTTTCCACATAGTACATTTCATTCCTGAAAACTTCTATTAAAAATTTGATAAAGGTCAATGTCGCTTTTTAAAAATCCTGTTAAAAAAGACAATTACTTGTAAGGTACAGAGTTGGTAGGCAATGCCAGCTTCCAATATACAAGGGACTACTTGATTTACAGGAGTAAATTGAATTATAAGCAGAGTCGTATTCTTTTGAAATGACATAAGTTAAATAAATTTCTGTTAAGAACTGCAGTTGTGTTCTGTGACTCACTTGACTCTGTCACCCAAACCCCCAGTGCTTGGATTCTCATGACGAAGGTAAAATCTATTCAGGGAGGAAAACAAACAAACATATCAATGGAAAAAAATCAGAAGACCTGAAAATATTATTTATTTATTTCACATGTTTAAGTGTCTGCAGTCCCCAGGTGCATTAAGAATTAGTATGAAATTCTAATTTCATAGAGTTCTTTATTTCCAGTTTGTTCAAATGGTGCAAAAGTGCAAACGAACGTTCCTTTAACCTGCCTCACTGTCTTTGCAGGGAAAAAAGCTTATTTAACATGATGCAGATAGAGGTTTTCTTTGCCAGAAAAAAACTGGTGTATGCATTCCAGAGTTAAAAACATTTCCGTGATCTTTTCATTTTGAAAAGTGCAGCTCTGATTATTACCCATGTGAACACTCCTGCTTTTGGGAAATGGTTTGGAGATGTGGTTTCTTTTGTGCTTGGAGTGACACCAAAATGTACATGCTGTATTAAACAATTTAGATTCTGTCAGGGCCATTAGGGGCCTTGATCTGTAGCCTATATCAGGTGATACTTCAAGTCCACTCTGCTGGAGTCTTGAATAGGGCCTAAAAGCTTGATTGCACTGAATTTTATGTTAGGAATGTAAGTTTTCAGAACAACAGCTTAGGACATATTTATTTAACAGAGAGGTTATAAGATTTTTCTTCCCCAGTAACTGCATTGCAGTGATAGATGATTGCAGTAACAGGTGCATTGACATGCTTTGAAGTTTTAAGTGGACTGTTAAAAAATTGTTCAGTGGGACATTTTATAACCATTGCCATCTCTCTCTTTCTACACTGTTTGATAGGAGAAATTATTCCATAATTCTTATGCTTTTTTGGACTTGTGGCACTTTGCTCTTTTATGCTTTTTGATGGTTTTGTGCTGTAAATTTGCCAAAGAGCTAATCCCTCTCCTTCTTGCAACATAAGGTTGCTCTTGAGCCTGCAGATTAATAAATCTGATTATTAAAGCTGGCAATTCGGAAGAGAGGAATTCTGGTTTTGGCTCAGGGGATAACATGATGTCTTTTTTGTAAATTCTTTTAAGTTCTTGGTGTTTTAATAGCCCTGTTTTTAAAACAAGGACACTTAGTTTTTCAGCAGTTTATAAAGTTAATGAATTCATAAATTGTATTTTTACATCATAGCTGAAATGTTGTGTTTAACATGCCTAATTACAGAACATTCCATATAATGTAAATTGAGCAGTGCTTAACAGGAGTGCCCTGCATGTAAACATGAGTCTTAAAAAACTTTTCATAAAATACGTATTTGTGGTTTTTACTTACACAATATTTTGTTCTCTTCTATCATAAACTTTTATCTGTGTTGTAACTTCCAGTTAGCTATTAACTGTAATTATCAGCACTGGCTTGTGCTTTACAATAAAAAGCATTCAGGTGCAAGATATTGGTTGGGGTCACACTCATTATAATCATTATCTTCTAATGTGGGAGATGTGCTCAGAAAGCAGTTTACGAAAATGATGATGTATTTTTATGAGTACAGAAAACTATGCTTATTTGATGTGAAAGCTGGTTATACATTTGACCCCCTGCCTTCTATTCCAAGAAAGAACTCACTCCAACCCATTTTGGGGTGTTAGAAAGGAGGGTTGGTTGAAATGCTGTTCTGAACTGAAGAAAGTTGAATTCTTCTATCTGTATATTCAAGTTCAACATGGTAACATTTTTCAAGATCTTCTGGTGTTCCTAAGTTCATAACTAGATGTGCCATAAGTTGATTTTGATATATCAAAGTTATTATTATGGCTACCTGTATGATTGTTACTTCTGCTTAGTTCCCAGGTAAGACCGTTCTCAGTTCGTTATATTTAGCTAGTGCAGGGTTCCTACCTTGGTGATTAGAGTTCCCAATAACTTTTGCTTGTGGAATTTTCTTTTCCTCTAGTCTAACTATGGGTCTGTAAATGGATCTAAAAGACAATAAACTCATCACATTTTTGATGTCTAGGCAAAATACCACTGTGAAAAAAATGCTTTTCGGTTTTAGGGCACATGGCTTATTGCACTTAATGATGTTTCATCCCATGTTTTACTTACGTTGTTTCCAGATGTGGCTTTACTGTGTATATTCTCCTGCCTTGCATCTGCACAGCAAGCAGGTCACTAGTCCTTACACTGTGAGAGGCTGCCTTTTATGCTAGCAGGGTGTGCCTATCCTCTGGAGAGGTTGTTAATATTCAAAGTAAGCATTTGGTTTAGGCAGCCTTGCTATGGGAAGTCTGTGGTCTCTAGATAAAGAAGCCTTTGCTATTGAGACATCAATCTCTAGGTTCCTAGGGATGACAAAATGTCACTGACATTGATCTGGCTGTGGTAAAGCATGCTGCAATCCTAACAAGGGGACATTTTAGAGAAGTATTTTTAATCCCAGGGTGTGTTGTTGGGCCACATGAAGCTCTGTTCATATCTTAATGTGGCATTCTGTCATCTCAGAAGCCTTGAGGATTGATGCAGCACTTGGTAGAGTGTCTCTATAGTTTCTGTTAGCATGACAGGCTGTTCATGAAATGTTTAGTCACTTGTAGTGTGAGTATATGGAGTATTTGGAGAACAAGTCTTATGAGGAGCGGCTGAGGGAACTGGGACTGTTTAGCCTGGAGAAGAGGAGGCTGAGGGGAGACCCCATCGCGCTCTACAACTACCTGAAAGGAGGTTGTAGCGAGGTGGGGGTTGGTCTCTTCTCCCAAGTAACTAGCAATAGGACAAGAGGAAATGGCCTCAAGTTGCTGCAGGGGAGGTTTAGATTGGACATTAGGAAAAATTTCTTTTTGAAATTTTTTCTGAAAGAGTGGTCAGGCCTTGGAAGAGGCTGCCCAGGGAAGTGGTTGAGTCACCATCCCTGGAAGTATTTAAAAGACGTGTGGATGAGGCGCCGAGGGACATGGTTTATTGGGCATGGTGGTGTTGGGTTGACGGTTGGACTCGATGATCTTAGAGGTCTTTTCCAACCTTTATGATTCTATGATTCTATACTTGTGCACTTCACTTGGAAAAAGAAAGAGGTTATTTTCTGGTAAACAGAGTTCTGATGTGGAATCTGAATCTGTGTTTCCTTCTTATCTTTCACCTCTTCCCTCAACCCTTTGAGGTTTTAAATTGCATCTCTGGGTAAAATGAAAGTGCTGTCTTTGTTGGTCCTACACCAAGTAGGGAGGATTTGGGAGCGGGAAGGCATGAGCCCACCCTGTGCGGATACTATAGAAGGGAAGCAAGTTCTTTGGTCTGTAGCAATAGACATGTGTGCGTGCACCTCTGCATTCAGAATTCACATTGTTCCTCGTGGCAGGATTGCACCTGGTGGTTACAAAGAGGCATTAACGTGGCTGAAGTGTTTCAGATTGCCACACAAGCCTTCCAGGGAAGGAGGTGCACTTTTCCGTTGTGATTTATCTGTAAAAGTAAACCAGAAATGTTATGTCTTAAATTTCCTCTGGTTTAGATTTTATTTCCCAAATAGATGATTTCTGTTTCAAAATCTTGCTTAATAGGAACATGTTTAAGTGCACAGCAAAATAAGAATGTCCAAAATGTCAGGCAATTGCCACACAAGCCTTCCAGGGAAGGAGGTGCACTTTTCCGTTGTGATTTATCTGTAAAAGTAAACCAGAAATGTTATGTCTTAAATTTCCTCTGGTTTAGATTTTATTTCCCAAATAGATGATTTCTGTTTCAAAATCTTGCTTAATAGGAACATGTTTAAGTGCACAGCAAAATAAGAATGTCCAAAATGTCAGGCAAGGCAATCCAAGTTATAATGCAGTAATCTAATAGCTGTATCTATTGCTGTCTTTTTAAACAGTAACTTAACAAAGTCTCCATACTGTAGCTTAGTCATGTGTTAGTGTTGCTCTAGGGGCTTGGATTTTTTTATTTTTCATTTTGGTTTTCATTTTTGTTTTGTCATGTAAAAAATAAACTTTACCCTTTTGAGTCTCTTCAAGGTAAATTACTCTCTAAGTAAATTACTCTCTAAAGTTGCCTCTTGTTCTTTGTGGACTATAGAAAAAGCCTAGAGAACTAGTTCACCATAGACATATTTTTTTAATAATAAGAGCCAAGTAAAATTTCTTTACTGAAAGAGTGGTCAGGCCTTGGAACAGGCTGGCCAGGGAAGTGGGAGAGACAC